GGTCTCTTTCCTCTCAGGCTCCTGAACACGGTTGTACAAATCTTGGCTCTATCCTACAGCGTCTATTAGCTCACCTTCTCTCTGCTGACATCCATCACAGTTACTCCTTTCAAGAATTGACTCCTCTTATCAGATAATGACATTTCCTAGACTACCACTCATTACTCCATCTGGAACAGATTTGATGCGTTGTTATGGAAACCAGAAAAAGAGTGCAGGCTTCGGCCTGTGACTATGACAACTGAAGAAGAAACTATATTTTGATGGCAACGTATAGTAACATGCCCTGTTGGTATTAGCTGGAAGAGCGAAGTGTTTCATTCACACAATTCTGGGCTGTATTTAAACAATTTTTAAAAAATGCCAAAATAACCGTATTACAAAATAGACACGAGGTAAATGAAACAAGGATGGGGAATGACGTACACAAAGGTGCATCTGCTTTTGTTTTTCTGCAATCTTGAGACAGACCCTGATCGGGTTTGTGTTTCTGTATTTGTGCTTTGCAAAGCTTTTAGGGCACCCCAAAACTCTGTTGCTGTGATGAGCGGTACCCCAGTCTGTGGGGTGGCCAGCAGCATCACCATGACAGCTATGTATACTGTTTGCAGAATACGGCAGGTCAGGTTTTCATAGTCCCGAGGTGCTCTGGAAATCAACCGCAGTGTTCAGATAGCTGGGAATATTCCTGTAGCTGCTTCAGTAGCTGTCAAAGCTGACTGATGTACCTTAGCACAGGGGGTCAGCAACCCATTGATCTTAATCTACCCGCTAATTGCAGGAAGGTGATTAGTAGGTTACAATGAACCCTCTCAGAGGTCTCAGAGCTCCTGACCGCTGCAATCTGCATTACTTACTACTCCCTTCTAAGTTACCTACGCCTGACCCCTGCACTGCGAGTTACTTAATCCTGACCCCTGCACTGTGAGTTACTTAATCCTGACCCCTGCACTGTGAGTTACTTAATCCTGACCCCTGCACTGTGAGTTACTTAATCCTGACCCATGCACTGCGAGTTACTTAATCCTGGCACCTGCACTGCGAGTTGCCTATTTCTGGCCCCTGCATTCTGTGTTACTTACTCCTGACCCTTGCACTCTGCGTTACTTACTCCTGACCCCTGCATTCTGTTTTACCTATTTCTGACCCCTGCACTGTGTCACTTAATTCTGACCCCTGAACTCTGTGTTACTTACTCCTAACTCCTGCATTATGTGTTACTCACACTTGACCCCTGCATTCTGCGTTACTCCCTCCTGACCCTTGCACTCTGCATTACTTACTCCTGACTCTTGCACTCTGCATTACATACTCCTGACCCTTGCACTCTGCATTACTTACTCCTGACTCTTGCACTCTGCATTACTTACTCCTAACCCTTGCACTCTGCATTACTTACTCCTGACTCTTGCACTCTGCATTACATACTCCTGACCCTTGCACTCTGCATTACTTACTCCTGACTCTTGCACTCTGCATTACATACTCCTGACCCTTGCACTCTGCATTACTTACTCCTGACCCTTGCACTCTGCATTACTTACTCCTGACCCTTGCACTCTGCATTACTTACTCCTGACCCCTGAACATTGCCTTATGTTCTTTTGACCCCTGCACACTGCATTACAATCTCTTAACCCCTGCACACTGCGCTACTTAGTTCTGACACCTGCACTCTGCGTTGCTTACTCCTGGCCCCTGCACTCTGTGCTACTTACTCCTGACCTCTGCATTGTTTTACTAACTCCTGACCTTAAACTCTTCAAACCTTCCTTACATTTTCATTGAGCCTTACTACGTTATACCCCTGTCTTGGTGTACGCAAGAGCATGAAACTGAATTTTAGAGGACTTGCCACCTCAATTCGTAAGAGGTTTAAAAAGGAATAAATACATTTGTAAATGGGAATGAGGCATCACTGACAGTAAACGGAACTTCATCGCCTCCAATGTCCTTTTTGTCAATAGATATAGTTTTCAAACATTTGAAAACGCGCGTGTGCGCGCGCACGCACATACAGAAGTACATGATCCCTTAAATGTCAGCAATCTCTGCAGGGTTAATGCAACACTTCCAGTAGTCAATTGCAGATAATTCACAGCTAAGACTCAGGGCGATGTTATTGATCGTTAGCTGCTTCAACAAAGGAAACTGCAGCCGACAGCGAAAAGAATACATAATAGAAGCTAAAGACTGATGCAGGGTGGCTAATGACGGGCGGCTGTCGCATCAAGATTGACAAGCCCTCCTGATTCACCCAAAAGACGGACGCTGTGCCGTAAAATTGCCATACAAAAGTAAATGATTGGGCAATTTACAGTTCAAAGCAAACGTAAACATTTATAAAAAATGCTTATTTGAATTCTAAGGCATATGTGTAGGTGTGTGTACTAAACGTACTCTCTCGCAAAAGCAGCCCCCCCCCCCCCCCCCCCCCCCCCCCCCCCCCCACACACACCCTATGC